ATTATTATTATTATTATTATTACCTCAGTGAGTATATTTCCACATAGATGATCCATCTACCAAGTCAAGTTGGCCAACAGATGACAGTTGACACCACTTTTCTAACTAAAGTTTTCAAACTGCTTTCCTGGCATGTACTATAGAAAGCACAAGGCAATCCCACCAGCCTAAAAAAGTCACTTTTTAAGGGTATATATTTGATATTTCCTCTTCCCCCCAAAAAGAACACTGGTACTTACAGATCAAACACCAGGAAGAAAAAGGTGTGAGATTCAAAGTTGTCCTTCAGCTGGACTGGAAACAAAACGGGATATTTTAGGAATGTGAAATAACATTGCAAATTTTCTTAAACACTAAGCAGGAATGGAAAGGTACTGAAGCACAGACCCCCTAGCTTCATTGCACAACCACACGGACTGTTCTGTCTTTCTGCAAGTGTTCCCTGGATCTTCTCTGTCCATACAACAGGAGCATAAGATGCTGCTGCTTTACCCTCATCTGGTCCATTCACCTATCCTAGCATTTTCCACTTTGACAAGAAGTGACTTTCTAAAATCTCTGGTTTTGAAAAACAGTAGAATCTGAACCTGAGACCTTGTAAAGTGTTGCATTGCCAAGCCGTTACCCCTCCTAATCACATACTTGTACTCCTCATGGATGGCTTCCTGATTTTATTCTTATATTTCTTTCATGTACAGAGAGACAATCCAAAATCACTGTTTTAACACCCAGTAAAAAAGATCCACATTTTTTATTATGTGCCACCAAGTAACCACCTAGATAGATATCTAGGTGGTTACTTGGTGGCACATAATAAAAAATGAGATCCATACAGTGGTGGGATTCAGATATGTGAACAACTGGTTCTCTGTGTGGATGCCGCTTTCAGAAGTCCATTCTGGGCCTGGGCAACAAAAAATTAGCTACCGGTTCTGCCGAAGTGGTACGAACCGGCTGAATCCCACCACTGGATCCATATTATTAAAGGATAATATTTGTAGCTCAGGGTTGAAATGAGGGGTCCTTGGTACTCTGTGCTTTGTTGTTTTCTTGCAGACATTTCATTACCCAAACTAGGTAACATTATCAGTGCTCCTGATGATCCATTAGCACTGATGATGTTACCTAGTTAGATAATGAAACTCCTTCAAGAAAACAACCAAGCTCAGAGAGAACCAATGACCCAAGATTCATATTATATATTCCCAGCTGAACTTAGGGGCTTACATATATTCTTCACTAAGTTTTGTCCCTGAGTGTATCCATTTCAACTCATGACAATGATGGAAAAAGGAGAAGGAGAAAGAAGACGAGGAGTTACTTAGGATGATTATCATCAGTCTCAGCTTCTGATGAGCTATTTAAACCACATTAGTAATATTTATTAATTTCATTTAAAAGACTGCCTATTATCCATCCAGAGGCAGTGTAGCAAAAAGTCATACCAAGTTAATTATTATCAAGGCATTTTGAGCAAGAACCTCCCACCATTTAAGGATATAATCTATGCACTCTTATCAAGAATTAAATTCCATTCACTTCAGCATTTCTGTTCAGACTTTGCCTTAAGCCATAATATGATTTCTTTGGCTTATAGCTTAAGAAGATGGGTGGATCCAACCAATGATAGTTTATTCAATAAGCAATTGTTAAACCATGATGGTACTTTGCAAATACAGTAAAGATTTATTTCTCAATAGACATGCATAGGATCTCCCTGTGAATTGTCACTGTCTCATTTTCTCTGTATTGAAGGAAATTACATTTGTGATCATTCATCATTATATAAGTAATCTACAATTAGATTAACAGTCAAAGACTGATGAAAATGTAATAATTGAACTTCTAACCAAAAACCTAAGAATTATTAAGCTAGCAAGATAGAGGCAGTCCCAAGCAGGGTATTTTTTTTT